CCGGTATTAGGAATCTCAAAGAAATTATTACACCGCATCAACCTTTTCAATTCGCAATTTTTAGTAGGCCCTCGATGGTAAAAGATATTCGCTTCAAAAGTTTCTTGCACGAGCCAAATATCACCAAGCGAGTCGAGTTTTTCAGCATCTTAGGGTATAATCATGAAGTCATCGTAACAGAATTTTTGAAGATCAAAAATATACTATATTATAAAATCAGTATTTGATGTCAAACATTTTTCATTAAGACAGACCGATTTTAATGATTTTTGATGTAATTATAGGTATAAGGTAGGACGCTAAACATACGGTAATAAATGCGCCGTCATGACGTAAGCAAGCTACTGTTCTACCTAAAGATTAGTCAGAAATGCACATCAGAATCTTTAAGTTGTTTCTTGTCGTAACATTTTTTTTTTTCTATCTTTATAGGACTATTTATTTTTACTGTTAGCACTGAAACACTTTTCCACTATTTTAATCATTTTAGCACAATGTTCTAGAGAACATTAAATGGCGGTGGTGGTTTCACAGAGTATGATCAAGTTTTATGTAAACAAAATATGCATTTTACACATATTGTGTACATTTCTATCAGTCATAACATCAAACAGGACGCAGCACAACGACCACCTAAATCTTATGTTAGTGATTACACACCCAAAGCAGAATGCAAGCTGCAATGCATGATGGGATTTATTGTAGAACAAATTGTTAATTGGTGACAATGCAACTTTACAACGGGGCAATACATTGAGGCCACTGATACAAGAACAAAAATTTCCCATCAAAATCAGTTGTCAAATTTGATAGGTTTAAGTTGTCCTTATCCATTGTCACAGACAAAACAGTTCAATTGTGAAAATTAAAACAAAAAAAATTGACCAGAATCATTTTTAGGTCTATTGATTTGTTTTAAATTGTGAATTTAAGGTGACTCATAATTCTTGGTTGGGCTGAAATGTCTATGGAATGGCAAATTTTTATATATTGAACATTTTAGTGCATCCTAGGAATCCCACTAACTTTTTCGTCATTCACCAGATTTGTGTACATACATTGTAATAAAATTCTGCTAGCTTTTCACTTGTCATATTTGAATGCATTGTGGGTTTCCACTTATCTTTGCCAGTTGCCAGACTTGAATGTATCCTGTGATTTCGCTGACACTTATCCAGTCACCAGATTTGAGTGCACCCTGGGAATTCGACTAATTTTTGCCAGTCACAAATTATGTCACTTTCCCCACCTATGGCAAAGAATAGAATTTCTAACCATGAATTATTCACAAAAATGTCTAAAAAACATGTCATCTCCACAGAAATGTAAACCAGGGCAAACATCCTGACAAACATCAAGAAAAGGTATTCCTTGATATAATGTAAATGTTACAGCAGCATAAGTAGATAAAACTATTCTATCCTTTGTGGAAGCCCAGGAATTCAGATTCTGCACCCAATACACATCCCTCTATGAAATGTGAATTTGTGAAGGATATAAATGAAATGAAAGACAAGCCTTTCTGTAAATAATAGGAATGGAAAAATGTATTATAAAAACTATATATCGGTAGATTATCTTAACAGATGGTATCTTGATGTATACAACAAGTTGTAACAATTTCAATATAAAATAAATAAATAAAATTCCATTTTTTTTGTAGTTAGATATTACAGTATCATGAATTTGTTAGTTTAATGATTATTTCTGTACACTATTATAGTAACTTGACACATGGTGAATAGTCAGTGCGGATAATCAAATCATCTAGCTATTTAAAAGTCAGTTGATTTATAAACTAATACTGCAACACAGGAAAAGATAACAGAATGATTTTCAGAGATGGAAGAAGAAAAATTATTAGTCTTCTGATGGAGTTTCATTCTTTTTTCAAAGGAAGTCCTTGCTTTTCAGACCATTCTTCCCATCCACCTGGATAATGTCTGGCTCTGTAAGACAATGTAAAAGCTGACAATTATATATAAATACATATTAGATGTACCAGTTTATAAAACAACTGTCATGTAGTCGCATTCCATTTTAGCCACATCCTTGGTTAGCTGCAAATTAGCTAAATAATCATTTCTAAAAATGATGTAATTATAAACTTTAGCTAAATTAGGTGTTAAATTAGCTTTGGACAGGACAATATATATGGAAATATTATATAGGTTTATTTTGGAGAAGGTCACTAAAATTTAATGCTAACTATTAAAAGTAGTACCTTCCAGCCATACATTGTGGCATAAGTTATTGCGCCCTCACCAACAGATTCATTTGTACATAAACTAATCTTGCCATTGAGGGCGCAGTAACTCATGCTGTCAGAGTAATTACCATTCAGCTTTATTTCATTCGCTGGTAGGGAATTTCGTACTACTGGTTTCTGCATCTTTTGTAACATTTATTTTATGGTGAAGATAAATGTAATTTACACAAGTATAATTCACCATACTATGCCTATCACTTAAACTATTGGCTAAACAGTCCCTTCATCAAAAGAGGGACTGCGGCTAAACCAATAAACACAAACAAAAGTAGTCAACACAAAGCTGGTTAGAGGGCGCTATAGTACCTTGAACCCTGCAGCTACTACTGGTAGTAATCATAACTGGCAGTAATTGATGTCTGTGATGAGTTTGTGTGATTTATGAAAATGCTGTACTGTAGGAAAATTTATTTCTGCTGAAAACATTTTCTTAACATAAAAAACTGAGCAAAATTATCTTTGAAAAATATTATTGAGGAAAGAGAAAGTTAAAATGAGATTTTATGTAAAAATATATTAAATACAGCTTCCTAATTTGACAAAAAAGATGGAGGTTGGGTTCTCCAGAACCAGAAAAAAATGTTTAACAGATGTGGTTTGACCTCTCTAGTCCCAGAAAATAGGTTTAACAAAGTGGGGTTTGGGTTATCTAGTTTCAGAAAAAAAGTTTAACAGGTGGGGTTTGGGTTTTCCAGACCCAGAAAAAAAGGTGTTACAGATGGGGTTTGGGGTTTTTTATTTCCTCTATTAGATGCACATTGAACTTCAAATATGAAAATGTCTTGAGCTCTCATTGAAGCTATTTTTATGTAATTTTCTGTTTATGCAATGTATTTGTACATTTTCACCTCCTGACTCACGAGAATTATTATTTATAAGAAATTGTTGATGTAAACTGTTCAGCAAGGCACCAAAGTGACATCACTTTTACATGGTAGCATTTTAGAACAATGATGATAAATCATTCTGTCAGCAATGTAAAACAAATACAGTAGTCATGTATACCTACTAATAATTACAGTGAGGCAGAGGAACTGGATATTTGATGGTGCTAAGAGAATACTAAAACCTTGCTATGTGATACAGTCATAACAAACATACATACTGTGTGTAACTCATAGCAGTACTTTGGTACTGTGGATACCGCCAAGGCAGTACTGTACAATATTCTTATCACATGGCATAGGCATGACATGTTTGTATTGTTCTCAAAATTTTGCAGGGTCCATGATTCAATCTGCTTTAATTACTGAATGTAAAAAGAAGTTATTAAAAGAGAATTGGAAAAACAAAACATAAAAATAAAACAAACAAAAGTCATAGCATTGTAGTGGTGGCAAAACATTACATGGGATTTGACAAACGCAAAACTATGTGATATACCCAATTGATGATGGTTAATTTTAATGTACCTAAAACTGTAAAATACATTAATTTTCGCTGAAGGAATGATTCAGTGAAAATAAAATCCAGCGAATATACCTTTTTCCTATATTTTACATTCAACTTGTCAAAAATCAGTTAAAATAAATTCAATACAAAAATCCCAAAATGTCTTTTCAGTGAAAATTAATTCCAGCTAAGATAAAGTATTTTACAGTAGTGTCTCAATGCAATTTCTTCTCTGAATGATAAGAATTTATACATTGAAATTCAATGTCAAAATCAAATCTTCCTATTTTTTTGCAGCAGACATTTGATCCACGTCTTTTACGCTTAAGCGAGATCTCACAGTAAACGAGAAAAACACCTTATTGTATAATACAAACCTGATGAATTGAGTTTGATTTCTGGTTCCAAGACATGACCTTCGTAAAAGGACAATATAACACATTCTGAAACAACGGTAATCTTTAGGACAAACAGAACTTACTTCAAGAATCCTAGTTTGTGGGCCAGCTTCATAGCTGCTTTACTTCTAATTGGACCCATACTATGAAAAATTAAGTTAATATTCCATTTCATAGGCATTTCCTTTCCAAACTGCTCTATAAAATTTGATTCATTCATGCTTAAACTCTTAGTTAGTCGGCTCACTGTAATGAAGAGATGAATTACCATGAATGGTGTGAAAAACTTTCAGAATGCCGGTAATAGAACTTACAGAGATTATAAACAATGAGGTAAGTTATCGGTAAGTTGATCTCATGTTGGTATTGACTATTTTTGATTATTCATTTTTTTTCAGTTTTCATCATATGTTGGCACCCAATATATATGAAAAATTGCAAATAAAACAAATAGAAAAGACAAAAAAAAAAGGATGGTGTGGTAAAAATATTCAGGAGAAAAATACAGAAAAGGGCATGAAGCCGTGATTGCTATAAAAGTTTTATGAATATATAGATATGTTTTTATGAATCAAAATGGATATTAGAATTCAAATTGACCAATCCAAAAATGGTATTGTAACATCAACATCAGTTCTAGTTAATATTAATGAGATAAATATAGTTAAACATTATCTAATCAGCAAGTGCTCCTTTTTGAAAATGTGGGCGGTTGCAGTTGCCATGTCTTGAATGAAATTAAAATACCTCTAAAGTTCTAGACTTACATGGTATATTCAAAGATTTCGGTATTTTTCCATATTCTATTAATTCATCCGGTTCCCGGACATCAATAAGTTGTACATCACCGGAATCTAGTAAAGCTATCAGACATTGTAATCCACTGATGGGAAATCTTCAGGATTAATGTCGCTGCTAAGCCATCTTTGTGGTTGTTGAAGATACAGATCTGTAAATAGTTCTAAATTTAATACAAATGTTGAGTGTTAACAGGCAATCTGTTGTTTGTAGCATGTCTATAGTTTTTTGGTCGTAGCTAGGAGGCGAAGGCAGATAATGATATCTCCTAGTTTACAGTGTTTCAAACATCCTGTGTAATTCATAAGTTATTTGTGTGACTGAAAGTGTTAAAAATAGTGTTGTTAATATACTCTTTACTGTACTATCAGCACAACAAACCCATTCCCATAAATTTCACAATTTATACTGAAATGAGAGGTTTCTATTGGTTGACTAAATAAGACTGAAACATTTTCATACAACATAGTTTTGCACTGCAATGGGATTCAACTGCCATTGAAATTTATAAATATTTATAAAATGAAGGGAACAAGTTTGTTGCGTCGATAGTATATTGCCCGAAAGTGGTGGAATTTATTGAAAAATTAATAAATTATGGGTATTTGTATTCATGAGTGGGCTTACACTTTGAAAATTGGGGTGGTAGAGGATTTTGTGGTGAGAGGGACTATTTGTGGGAGGAAAAAAAAGGGGGGTGTAAATTATTTGCCCAGAAGGGGGGGGGGGTTCACTCTATATGCCGTTACTACCCCATGTGCATTCCAAATATAGCGGGAAAAGGGCGGTGTTTTTCACCTTCTAAAGCGGGCCCGTGCGAGAGGCAAATAGGCCCCCTTTAAAATGCCAATGTCTGCAATAGGCCCCCAGGAATAAACTCACAAGGTTGCTGCACCCGCTGTAGTCTCCCTCTTGCAACAATCACTCCCATACACCGCCATAGGCCCTGAATTGGCAGACCCATAGTCCGCGACCAGGGTCCAACCGCCCGCCTGAACTTTCGCACCGGGACTTTCCCGCCACTTCCAAAACGAGCATATGGAAAGTCACACCCGGAGTCATCCACACTTCCGAATTCATGCCAAAGTCACTCTGGGTTGAACATAAAATTGCATACCGGTATCTGATGGAATAAGAATCTGGGCAAAGATGTGTGCATTGCCTATTAAACAATCAAATAAATGATCATATTCACAATCATGTCAATATAGTTCTCATCTTTCTTCATCAAACAACGAATTACACCAACAGGAGTTGTATACACAGCAAGCGCATAAGTAGCTGAGTTGAGTTGATCACACTCCACTTGAGTGCAAAAAACGGCAGAGAATGCTCACAATAGGGGGTAGGATGTTCTCAATATGTGTCAGCAGTAGTTGGTGTTTTTTTCTTAAGGTAGAAAGAAGCCTAGTCATAATTTTTGACAAAATTGGTCATAAATCACATGACAATGTTCATTAGTTTATTATGTACAATCATGAAGCTAATGTCTCATGGTACAATGAAATAGCATTATTTTGTGTGTTACAGTTTTCGAGAAACGCGTCCTAATATTTCTTGAAAATTGCTATTTTTAGAACATTTCCATAGAACACAATGTTGAAGAAAAACTGCATTTTTTGACACTTTTTGACACCCAGATTTTTTAAATAATTCAGAACAACAAAAAGTACTCCATCATTAATAATATATGTTTTTTTCATCCTATGTCACCAGGCTAGATTTTGAGATATTGCATAATATCTCTGCCATAGAAACCTGTGGTAAAAGCATTATAATAGTGTCAAAATGGCGATTTTCCACTAAAATAAAACCATCAATTTCTCGAAAAAAATGCTGGTGACACCCAACTTTTTTCAGGTCAATATCCTTATATTGCCTTGGAGTACAATTTATTGCAAAATGAATAAATTCTGGGTTTTTTAATTTATGAGCAGGCTTCTACCTTAAATATGTCTA